GGCAGAACAAGACGAAGGAATTAAGATAGAACTTAGAGGGGATCGCAGACAAGTGTAGAGAGAAATCAGGCTAAAGATGACCTAAATATGAGAGCAGAATATAAGCTTATAACTGTCACAGAATAATAAAGAATATGGACTAAGGAGTTTCGTGTACATAGATTCATTTCTTCCCATTAAAGATTAATTATCAGCTGGTTGTAGATTCTTCCTGGACCCTGGGAGGGGACTATCGAGGGGCTGGACCCCCTTAGTCTCCGATAAAAACCCATGGAACTGAACCATGCATGATTATGCCTAGGACGTCATGCAGGCAAATCCTTTGTGGCATATCCCTGTAGAGTGTGCCCACTAAGTACCAGCTATCAGGTCTACAAGGTTTTCCTTACCCAGAACTCAAGAAGGGTAGCTTTGTTTACCATTAGTACAAGAGAATTACTACCAATATTGGGGGGTGGAGTTGTGAATTGAGCATGGCACACTATTTCTCAGTGTTCAGCAGCCAATAATATTAACCGTGTACCAACATACCCTTTCCGACATTTTCCCTCTTCTGTCTTTCTCACTCTGCCATTCCTATTACCTATATGTTCCAAATGTCTACCTGTCCTGGAGTCTGTCCTGGATTATACTTCTGTGAGGAAAAGGAAAAAAGACTGTGCATGATGGGTTTGCTGAGAGTCTAAAAATGTATGTTAGTGTAAAAAGCATATAAACGTGTTACTTGTGTCCTTCCTGGACACAGAAAGGAGGGTACTTTTCCAGGGTCTATGCCATGAAAAAAGGCAACTCTTTCTTACCGTACCAAGTCTTTATTAAGTAATATACACATTATTACAGTTACAAAATTCTTGATTGTCCAGGAACCTTGGATATATGATATCTTAAATTATGCCCATTACAGAGAGGAGAATAATAGCAAAAGAGATTAGGATTGGCCTTCCCAGGACCAAAGTAGAAAAATATATGAACGTATATGTGAAAGGGAAAAAAAGAAAATGAATTCTGTAAAATTTTACAAGTTAAATGAAAAACAGTATAATAATAAGCATCATAAAAAGATGTTCTAGTGACCATAATAGATATATGGCACATGGTCGATACACATGGATACCACATAATGAATGCACTTCAAATTGAAGTTTGTTTACTTGTAACAACATGGTACACATACATAAATACATACACACAATAACCCTGGAATGCAAACTTCAATACCCAGGAAGAAAAAAATTAACGTAGCATATCTAAAAGAGAGTAAGATAGACATGGAGCCATCGGCGTTAAGGGAACACAACATGCTTTGCGTCTGTAGAAGCTGCTAGAAAGGCCTGTCTGCTCAGCAGTTTGTTGGAGGTTTGATGTACCCTATGAAGTAAATAAATGCTTGAGAATTTAAAGAACAGCACTAAAGCCCAGGACTCTCTTCTAACTGTTCTCTACCTGATGGCACTCAAAAGGCCAGGTTATTCAGCACTTTCTAAAAACAATTGTTCTAGCCTGGTGTGGTTACACATGCCCTTAATTCCAGCATGTAAGAGGCAGAGAGCAGGTGGATCTCTGTGAGTCTGAGGCCAGCCTAGTTTACAAAGTTAGTTCCAGGACAGCCAGGACTATGCAGTGCGACCATCTTTAACAACAAAACAACAACAACATATATTGAGATTTCTCCCATAAATTTAGAAAGACCCTCACCTTATGAAAATCATTGCTGATATGCAACTTTCAGCTGATCCCTTCCAATAATGGATAACCCCTTAATACTGGAGGCCCCTTACACGAAACCGAACTAAATTTGCATTATACATTTACATTCTGAAATATAAGATTAAGGATACTTGAGAACTACATTCTAGATACAATGTAAGTCAAACCTTTACTTTTACAGAGCTTTTATGTATTTCAAAACTTCCTTAAAATACTGCTTCACATGTACATATTTGCTGAAATAAAACTTCCACTGCATACTAAAATATTCAGTAAGCTTGTCTTATTCATTAGTTATTTTTATATTAGATTCAGTTGTAAATTAGACACATGGGAAAGAAAAACGGAGAAATTTCTATGCTAACAAAGAATTGAAAAGTCAAGTTTAGTGACAGATTAAGGCTCTTTCCAATTCTCCTACATTTTATCCTATAATTTATCTTTTTGGCTTTTCTTACCAAATCTCCAACAAAAGCTAAATAACACAAAAAATAAACGATATGGTTAGTCCCACAAACTCAGAATATAATAGCAAAAAGGGACAGCACTTAACATCTATCTCAACTGTTCATACAGTTTAACAATGGCTACACATCCATACTTTGCTTTGGAGTTCTCTCCTACTTCGTTTTTGAGAAAAGTTCACCCCAGAAAGGTTGGTGAAATAAGACTCCTCTCTTAGAAGGAAGTTTGCAGTAAGCTCCCAAGTTACTTCTGAGTGGAAGGAAATGTCTGGTTTTCCTTAGCGCACTGTACAGGCCTGCCACTGCTGACTGCGGGGGCTGGACATGAACTCAGAGCAGCCTTTAAAGGCTACTTCACGGTCTCCTGACGACTTGGGTAGGGCAGCAGCTGGGTGTACTTTCAGTTTTTTGTTTTTTTGTTTGTTTTTTTTTGTCTTCTGAACTCAGTATTTACATCTAGATTTCTCATATGAGAAAAGGTAAAACAATATTCCTTGAATCATGGGTAAAGTTTACGTAAAATAAATTAAAAGTGCAGAAAACTATAACAATTGGTCACAAAGACCAGCATCATCACGTAGCCGGGCATATAAATACCATAACTGCCATTGTCCTACTTGACACCCACCTCTTGGGATCTCGGGAACACACACACAAACACTCGTGGATTATTACACATGGGCATTGGCACTTCCATTTCCACCTCCACCTTCCAGGCCCTCTGCAGACTGGGAAGAAGGAGGCCGGGAACTTCTGGGGTGAGGCTGACCATTGAGTCCCATTTGTGTGCCTAGACCATGACCCGTCTGGGATGCTGCATCGTCCGATTCCCAGCGCTCCAACTCTTCCCGTACCAGGCGCTCCATCTGCTCCCTGTGGATCTCACTGTCACGACCCAGCCTCTCATCCTAACAAGGAAATCAAAGACATGGCAGAAACCAGGGCACTGCATGCTGTATGTTACATAATCTGCACAGAAACTGAGTTAGGAATTTTAGGTGAAATAAGCTGTAGTTATGTAAGACTGCAGCTAGAGACAGTGTGCAATAACAGTTCTGAGAGTCCACGGAATGATTCCTCACTTAATTGTATCCCCCACTGCTGGTAGTACTCTCAGAGGGTGGATTATCAAGAGTCCTGCCTCCAGATTATTATTTGATCTAAGGTTACATAAGGAGGAAGACAAGCATCACGTTAAGTGTTATGACATGTGATGACTACCTTTATGCTCTACAGAACTAAAGAATGTTTCTGCTTAAGGGGAAAAAAAATCTGAAAATAAAAGTGAACAGAAACAATATTTGTGAATTATGTAAATGTAACTTTAAATGGTTTTATTCTTCTTCAATATTTCTAAATGGAAGGTGTCATGGGTGCCCATCTCTATCAATGAATACCTTGTCCCCTAGGGAGCTTAGGCTCACGACTACCTACCTCAGCCACCCCATCCAGCAGCCGCCCTAACACCTCTCGCCTCTTCAGCTTGGCCCGCTCCATGATCTCAAGCTTGACAATGACAGCATCAATCTTGGACACGATGCTGCCTATGGAGTGCTCCATGCGGTCCACACGTCTCACCAGTCTGCAGGGGATGACATCGGACACAGCAGGTCACGTCTCCTTGTCCTTCAACCCACCTGACGTTTCCACAGAAATGCCAGACAGCGTGAAACAGGAAACACTTTCTAAGTGTTCGCAAGACTTAGAGACAAACTGTTATAAGCTGCCTGTGGGAAAGATAACCTCCATCCTCTTGCCAGTAAAACTGTGTCTAAATGAAATTTCATATATGTCATTTTGTGTTACAAATTTATTCACACATACAGAGTTGCTTTTCATAGCACAGCACTGAATAGTGGCTATGCCAAACAACCAGTAGGAGATCATGTAAATAAACAATTCACCTATACAATAGGTGTCTAAGGTGACACAGAAATTGTACTGTGTCACATTTCCTCAAATAGAATTACAAGTTAATAAAACTGTTAGAAAATAGGGTGCTCTTTTAACATCTTTTTTTTTTTTTTTTTTGGTTTTTTGAGACAGGGTTTCTCTGTGCAGCTTTGCGCCTTTCCTGGATCTCACTCTGTAGACCAGGCTGGCCTCGAACTCACAAAGATCCGCCTGGCTCTGCCTCCCGAGTGCTGGGATTAAAGGCATGTACCACCACCACCACCCGGCCAAGATTTGTTTATGTATTATGTATAGTGTTCTATCTGCATGTACCCCTGCCCGCCAGAAGAGGGCACCAGATCTCATTACAGATGGTTGTGAGCCACCATGTGGTTGCTGGGAACTGAACTCAGGAGCTCTGGAAGAACAGCCAGTGCTCTTAACCACTGAGCTATCTCTCCAGCCCGCTCTTTTAACATCTTATTATTTTGAATGAAAATATTTAAATGCCTTAAAACATGTCAAATGGCAACAATTTGAATTCTCCCTCCCTGGCCCCTCTCCTTGTGATCCTAGTGACTGAAGAGTGTCTCACATACTAGGTCAGTATACAACCACTGACTGTATGACCTGGGGACAACCTCTCAAATGCTAGTATAAGAATACTAGCAGGGTGGTGGTGGCGCACGCCTTTATTCCCAGCACTTGGGAGGCAGAGCCAGACGGATCTCTGTGAGTTTGAAGCCAACCTGGTCTACAGAGTGAGATCCAGGACAGGCACCAAAATTACACAGAAAAACCCTGTCTCAAAAACAAACAAACAAACAAACAAACAAAAACAAAAAAACAAAAACAAAAACAAAACAAAGGAATACTAACAAGGATAGTTGTCGAAAATTATTTTTAAAAACTCAATGAATATAAGACAAATGAAAATCATTTATCAAAAAGGCAAACACAGAAAAGTGAGAGCTTGTGGCATTTAAAAATGCACGACTAACATATCTTCAGATAATACTTCCCCAGGTTTGATGAGAAACGCTGCAAATCCGAGACACTCAAAATGACAAGTAGGATAAACCCAGAGCTGCACATCTAGACACACACAGTGAAGGTACACAAAGACAAAATGACAAGCAGGATAAACCCAGAGCTGCACATCTAGACACACACAGTGAAGGTACACAAAGACAAAAGCAAAGAACAAATGAAAGCACCAAGGAAAAAGCTGGTTTATGATGTACAAAGAATTTCACTGAGCTGCATTCTCAAGAGGGACACAGCGCATCTCACTGAAGATAAAGACATAGGGAAAGGAGGCCTGATCTATGGAGACTTACTTGTTACGAACATGTATGCACCTAACAGCTTCAAACTACACTGAGCGGAACCTTCTTGAATTACAGGGATACGTGAATAATAATGACAGAGAGGTGATTACCTCACTTTCAAAAGCAGAAGTAAACATGCAGAGCATCAACAGGAAACAGGAGACAGCAACCGACAGCCATCTACAGAACCCTGAGGAGCAGCAGAATGAACATTCTCCTCAAGGACAGACCCTGGTTAGGCCGTAGGACATGTAAAAACACTGACACACACATGCAAAAGGAGACACAGGCTCTAAAATTTGCTAAGATGTTTTGGTTGGAAAGAACACAGAGGATATTAATGTTTTCTCTGCTTCCATACTTTCTGATAATGAAGATCTTTTATGAAAAGAAAAATACTCTAAAACTTATTTGAAAGAAATGATATTAGTCACGAAGAGAAGTAAATGTCTAACTCCATGAGAAGCCGCGTCATCTCATGTTGACCCTGGTCAACAAAGGTGGGAAAACGTTTGTACTTACACCTGGAACTCTTCATAGGAAACCCCGCTGGAGATGCTGCCCCTTCTCCTGGAGCTATGTCCACTGTCTTCGTCATCCTCCTCCTCAGAGTCATCCAGGCTTCTTGGGAAACTTCTGCTGCTCATGGGACGTGGTAAAGAGCTATGTTCCAAGTCCAGGTCCTCCTAAAGAATGTGGAGTCTTCCAGTGAGGGGCCAACATACCAAGACTTCACAAAAAATTTTACCAAGCTCTTGGGCCAGGAGAAAATGGGTTGTCCTCCAGAATGGTTTTCTACAGTTATTTCATGGATTGACATTTTAAAGCAGGAATAAACGAAGTGAATAAACAAGCTACCAATGTGTAGGCTGAGGGTGTAGGGAGGGAAGAGGAGGAAGAGAAAACAGTAATTAGTACATGGGGATGCTGATCCAGTCATCCCCTAAAGTGCTCACCCTCTCTTTTTCCAAGTCATCTCTCATCTGTTGATGCTCACGTTCCGTCAGTTCCTGATCACCATCCTGGTCATATTTAGTGAATATGGCCTCAATTTCTGCATCCGTATGGCCTTTCCTGAAAGTTTTGAGAGGACTGAGGTGAATTTCTTTGGTGCATGGTCCAGCCCGACCACTGAAACATCAGAACGCAGGAGGAAGGGAGACATACAGCATGTTCCAGAAAAATACCTGCTTCCCCAAATGAAAAATATTTCTCTACCAGTACTTGGGGAAGAAACATCTTCTCATCAGCCACGGATTAACATGTACAATAGGCACTCCCAGGGTCTAGCAGTGCGGCCCTCACCCTTTCAGGTCCTGTCGAAGCTCATCAAAGTTTAACTTGCCCCCACCTTGCCGTAGACTCTCTGAAATGTCATCTACAGTATTTCTTTTAAGTTTTAGTTTGACCAATGCTTTTTGGTAGCCCTATTGAAAAGAAAAGAAAAAAAGACATGATTTTGGTTTTATTCTCCTTTTGTCTTTCAGTTATAGTGAAACGAAAGTTCAGCACTTGGTAGAAGACAGCAATTCAAGAAAAATGTGTTCGCGAATGAGTAATGAATGTAATCTCAGTTTTCTATAAAACTTGTAGAAAACTCAGTATCTTTCAATAAGTCAGGAACTAAGGACCTTTTCCATATGTGTGTGTGTGTGTGTGTGTGTGTGTGTGTGTGTGTGTGTGTGTGTGTGTTTACATTTGAAATATAAAGTTAAATATGTATGTTTATATTTCAAATGTATACCACTATGAATCCCATAGCTGTTGGCTCCCCAGAATGCAGGGAATGTGAAGCAGCTATGGACTGTTTATTTTTCATATAATAGTAAGGACTTTTCTTATAGGTAAAAATATATTTTTTAAAGCCAGTGAAATAAGCCTGAGGATTTTCAAGAAACTAGAGGCAATGCTAAAGAAATGCTCTAGTGATCAAGTGTCTGCCAGTCATTTGTGAGCCTGGGTTCAGACCCAGGACTGCAGAAGTGAAGCAGGGAGAGATTTTGCTTTGTGTGGTAAGCAGAGCTGAAATTTTGCAAAGTGGACTGAGCAATCAAGAACAAAATTAATTGTTTTACGAGCTTTAATTTATTAAAACATTAAAAAATCACCTTGGTATGAGTTTACTTATAATTCTATATTCAGTATTTATAGAAATATAAAACCAACTCTAATATTTACTAAGACAAGGAAACTTAAACTATTAAGAGCTCTGAAAACAAAAGTCTTTAACTTCTTTGTAAACATATCCAGGATTCTGAACAGGGCTTTTCTTCTATGATGCTGTCACCTCCCTTAAATGTAAGCTGAACACACTTGCTATGTTGGTGAATTATCACACCCTATCTACAGATAGATCAGCTCCTAATATTTTTTTATTTTTCTCACCTATTATTGAAAAACATCTCTCTATTTGAATGATAATGGCTCCCATCATATCATATATTTAAATGCTTGGTCCACAGTTGGTGAAACTATTTGGAAAGAACTGGGTGTGGCCTTGTTGGTACGTCACTGGGGGTGAGTAGCCTTTGAGGTTTCAAAAGCTCACACCATTCCCAGTCTCTCTCTCTCTCTCTCTCTCTCTCTCTTTCTCTCTCTTTCTCTTTCTGCCTCCAACTCACAGATAAGATGTGAACTCTCAGCTACTGCTCAGTACCAGGTCTGCCTGCCTGATGCCATGCTCCCCACAATAACAATCTATGGGCTCAGCCTCTGAAACTCTATATAAGTCCCAATTAAATGCTTTCCCAATAAGTTGCCTTGGTTACGCTGTCTCTTCACTGCAACAGAACAGTGACTAAGACACCCTGCTAAGAGTTACTTTAACGTGACATTATTTGCAAGCATCAACGTATTTCCATTATAATGTGTATTATTTATTTGTTGATAAACTGATCTTAGCTAAATTACTTCAGCTGTCTTCTGCTGTGGGACGGTCTGTATGTCAAATTGCTCTGA